GATAGAACTTTTAAGAAGGGAAGTAAAGTACTGGTTCTTATACCTACAAAACGCAAAAGTTGTTGTTACAATGGAAAGGTCCATTTGTAGTTTCCGAGGTCGTGAACAAATTAGATTATCGGATAGACATAGGTAACAATAAGATCAAAACTTTCCATGCCAATATGCTGAAGGAGTATGTTGAAAGAAATTTCGAACCAGAACGAGGTGCATTGGCAAAGGTAAGTGCAGCTGTTGTAGAAGCGGAAAATGGGTATGATAGATTAGAGGAAGATGATAGTTTAGAAACAAGTTACCAAGATGATAGTGACATATTGTTATGTCCATTGAAGAAAGGTTCAGAGACATATAAAGATGTTCAGGTCAATCCTGACTTACAAACAGATTGTAAGACTCAGATTGCAACCTTGTTAAAGAAATTTTCAGATGTTTTAACAGATATACCCGGAAATACGTCATTAGTTCAGCATGACATTAAGTTGACTACGTCAGAACCGGTAAGGACTAAGGGTTATCCTATTCCTTTTCACTCACAGCAGATAGTAAAGGAAGAAGTTGATAAAATGCTAGAGTTGGGAGTTATCGAACCTTCTAATGCTCCGTTTTCTAGTCCAATTGTCCTTATCAGGAAAAAGGATAACACGATAAGGTTCTGTATTGATTTTAGACAGATCAATAAGTGCACGGTATTTGATGCGGAACCGATGCCCAATATGGAACAGATATTTTCGAAATTATCAAAATACAGGTATTTTTCGAAAATTGACCTTAGTAAAGGATACTGGCAAGTTCCTTTGTCTGACAATGCAAAACCTTTGACCGCATTTGAAATCCCGTCGGGACTTTTTCAATTCCGGAAAATGCCCTTTGGTTTAGTCAATGCCCCTGCAACATTCTGTAGACTGATGAGAAAGGTTTTGAAAGATTTAGATCACTCAGATAGTTTTATAGATGATATTTTGGTCTATACAGTCACATTGCCAGAGCATATCAATGCATTGTATGAGTTATTTACCCAATTAAGAGAGTCTAGGCTTACTGCTAGACCGTCCAAGTGTTTCATATGTTTTGAAAAATTGGAATGTTTAGGTCATATGATAGGAGGTAGTAAGTCCATTGAACCTGTTCTCAGTAAGGTCAAGGCAATTCAGGAGACCGAGAGACCCACGACTAAGCGAGGAGTCCGGCAATTTTTAGGGGTTGTGTCTTGGTACCGGAAGTTCATCCCTAACTTTGCCGCCATTGCTGTTCCGTTGACCGATTTGACAAAAAAGTTTCAACCAAATCGTATTGAATGGGGTGAAAGTCAGGAAAAGGCTTTTCAGACTCTTAAGGCTAGTTTGACCGGTCCGCCTATTTTGAAATTACCAGATTTAGACAAGATATTTATTCTCAGAGTTGATGCTTCTGATTGTGGGTTAGGATCTGTATTACTTCAAGAACAAAGTGAGGAGAAATTTCCAGTAGCTTATGCCAGTAGAAAGATGTTACCAAGAGAACAGAAGTATTCTGTAATAGAGAAGGAGTGCCTTGGTATTGTTTGGGCAATTTCTAAATTTCACAGATACTTGTTTGGTAAGGAATTTATTCTAGAGACAGATCACCAGCCGCTTTTGTATCTTAACAAGGCAAAGTTAAGTAACTCTAGAATAATGAGATGGTCTTTGCTTTTGCAGCCATACAGGATGAGGATTAGAGCAATCCCAGGTAGAGAAAACATAGGTGCAGATTATTTAAGCAGGGTATAATGTAGAGTGTAGTGTAGTATTTATGGTGGTTATAAATATGGTGTACAGTATTTCTACTTACACTTTTGCAATTTGTCGTTTTCACTTTGTTGTTTTTAAAGAAAATTTATCAATTTTCTTATTTAAAGGGGGGCGTAAATGTCACAAAGTGAAAGTACGTTTGTAAAATCTTGCATTATATTTTCACGCCGAACCTCATTTTTACTCTATATTCATTGATGTGAGATTGCATCATCTTTTGTTTAATTTAGAGTTTTCGGGTGAAATTATTATTTAGAGTATTTTTATGGTTTGCATAAATTTCCATGTATCAATTTAAACATTTTGCCGTTTATTTCACAAAAATCCTTTCAGTAATAAGAAAGTTACATTTTTGTTTTATGAACCAGATATATGTATTATGTCTGTATTTGAAGGACGGGCCTTTATTTTACATAACTATTTTTCCCGCCGTCCCAGCTTTATTTCGTGCAAATCGATTTTTCATGTTTTGCACGATTTGTTTTCCCGCTCAGTACTCAGTAGTTTGCTATATATTGACTAAATTTTAAGTGACATATTGCAATGCACTGGACGTTATACAGGTCACTATGACGGTGACAGACAAATTATATTTGTCATAAAATTACAGCTTGTACAAGGTAAATTTAATTTTCTAGTGATTTTGTTTCATAAATTTTTGCTATTTCATAAAATACTATTTTCTATTAGAATTATAGTTTATTTGATTCAGGTTTGGTTATTTGGCAGTAATTTATTGTTTTCTAAATTTTTGCAGATTAAATTTTAAAAACTCTTTTTATTCTAGTGTTTCGCTATTGCAAATTTATACCGAGACATGTTAATTGATGTATGTTAATTGAAGTTTTAATTATATTGTAATTGTATAAGAGCCATGAATATTTTATAGATATATATATTCATAAATAATTTATTATGGTTCTACCGTATTTGTGTAACTTTATGTAAAATGCTGCAGTATCGTAATGATCTGTTTCAATCAATTTAATTTGCGTTATCATCTTACTTCATTTCATTTATCATCAGTTTTTGTTATAAGTAAATACAACGTATCAAAACTAACGTATCTCTAGAGAAGGATCTTCAGTGGCATGATTTTGGAAGACGTTTATTTATTGGTGGTTATTATGTGGCGTATATTTGAATATATTTGCAACGCAGTATTATGCGGATGTGATTGAATTTTTGTTCCACGGAATGTATGGTGTACTATAGTGGACATTTTGTTTATTCAAAGAAGCACGTTATTTTATTGGAAACCGACAAAAGGTCGAGTCTTTTCCAAGGGACTTTATTATACCCTTATGTTTGATTATCATGGAACTTACCATGTTTTATACTTTGTAGCTTCTTATTTGAGGACACACCCGAAGATGACACGGGCCCTCCACACGTATGTCCATGGCTAAAGGGTGACGCATGCCCTTGTTCAGGATCCTATCAACTGTGCCAACACTGTAGGAAGTACAGTTACGCTTGATAAGATTTTATACAAGACGCCCGCCATTGTGACGAATTTTGTTTAACAACGCCACCACTTTATTGAAACATCATGACAGAAACTTTACGGGAGAAATAGACTGAGATACGTTGATAGTGTTTGTTTGTGCAGTGACTTATCATAGTAGTTTATCATATACAATCATTTTTCATTTATAATATTCATTTCTGTAAATAAATTTGTATATATTTTTCTGTTCTGAGTTGTTGGTTGTTTTAGATAGCAATTGTGGTCGGCCTGGTATCCCATCGTAGTCCCTATTGTGACGGAAAGAGCCGATAAAATGCGACTCCCTATTTACAGACTTATCATGCATGGCTCGTAACCTTTATAAACTGTCTGGCACAAGAGTTAAGATACAAACATGGCACAGCTTGTTTACATATTTGGACAACTGCTTCTTATTACTAGTACATATGGCGGTAAGATTTTTTATAAGCTTTTACAAAACAATCTACACATAACAAAAAGCATCTTTTTCGTTATTTTTAGGTAAGTTCTGCGATATTTCTAAATCCAAACAGAATACTATCTTGGACAAGACATGTCCACGGACAGAAAGTCGAGCCCGCTCTTCTTAATTCAAACCTGAACATGTAAGCATCAGATCAAGATGTATACATAGTTGGGATGTGCGCAACACATCAGGCAAAATCTTCTTCCCTGTTTTTTGTTCTTGTTTCAGTTGTTACCTGTGTATTTCCTGGACTGTTGTTTAGTGAACAGTGAACTAAGCAAAAAGGCATTTCTATTAATATAGGGAAGTCAATGATCTGCTGCAATGCTCAGCTGTTTTGGGCATCTAGCGAGGCATTCCTAAATATAGTGTTAAAATGTTCTGCTGCAATATTCAGCTGGCTAGGCAATCTAGCAGTGCATTACTAAATATAGTGTTTAAATGCTCTGCTGGAATGCTCAGCAGCTGGCTAGCTAAGCTAGCTGGGCAATCTAGCAGGGCGTTACTTAATAAAGTGTAAAAATACTCTGCTGGAATGCTAAGCTGGCTAGGCAATCTAGCAGGGCGTTACTATATATAGTGTAAAAATGCTCTGCTGGAATGCTAAGCTGGCTAGGCAATCTAGCAGGGCATTACTAAATACAGTGTAAAAATGCTCTGCTGGAATGCTAAGCTAGCTAGGCAATCTAGCACGGCGTTTCTAAATAAGCTGGCTAGGCAATCTAGCAGGGTGTTACTAAATATGGTGTAAAAAGATAACAAGGCAGTCCAAAGGACAGCAAGATACTTTTGTAGCAACACAGCTGCAAAGTTGAACGAGTTCTTATAGTACAGTTTTACTTAACTGAACGTTTCCTCGTCTCGGTGTGCTGAAAATTTGAGCCAAGTTTCGTGAAAATCCTTCCAAGAATGTGGGAGACATGGAGCGGACACAAAAACGCAGGCTCAATCATATGACCTTGACCGTGATCCAAAAAAGCTGACTAAATATCTTCTGTACATCATCTCGGTAGGCAAAATATTTGAGCCAAGTTTCGTGTCTGCATCGATCCTGGGCAAACAGCCAGGCAGTTTATCAGTACCAGTTGTATTCACTTTCGCAAGGAACTGATAACTTCTATACATGCCAGAGCAGAGGTACAATGTGAATGACCGTAGAAATGGATTCGGGATTATGCACCGTCTGGGACTCGAACCCGGGTAGCCGGATACATGGTAATCTTAACAATCTTAATGCGACTTTAAACTCAATTAAGTCGAACATTCAAGAAGTCTTGATGGATGTATTAACCTAAATTGAAGCTATCTTTAAAATACGGTGGCAATGACCTATGACCTTATAGATAAGGCAGTCATTACTGTTCAGACAGAAACATGGCGAAACTTGTGTACATTTTAGGACAACTATTTCTTATATGTAGCAGTAAGAAAGTTTTCATTATATCCATAAGAATCTACACATATGTGACTAAGTTACGCATTAAGTTTAATCGAATATAAGAATTTACATAGGAAAATGGAAATATAAGATTCAAAATTAAGCACTAAAATTAATAAACAAAAAAAAACGTGTTCTGCAAAGATAAAGAATGCGAGATAGATAATCAATGTACGTGAATGACGTGCGTACTTTTAACAAATACTAAAACTAAGTCTACCACCACAGAGCATGTCTGTAAACATGTTTATGAAATGCTTCGAGCAAACGTGCACGTTTTAATTTCAATTTGTAAACAGGAGTAGTACGTTGAACCTTTGTGGAGATAATAATAATGTTGACATTATGAAAGCCCGTGAGATCACACGCGTGCACGTTCATTTTTAGTAAGAAACCATGATAAAATAATTATCTAAAAATAAAAATTCTAAAAAACTATCAAACAATGGAAACACAAATGATTTGATATATGCATAGTAAAATTGGACACTGCATTTCATTTGTGCAAACTTTGACTTACTACATGTAATATTACCTAGGTAACTCTATAATGATGGTTTCCAATTGAATAATGAAAATGCCAAACGTTAATCAAATATTGTGATCTTATTGGTCTATACCTTTACAAGCTTTTCCTTATCTAAAAGAAAACCCCTTAAGATTTATCGAAACATAAGTCAAGAAATTAGTTTTTCTACCTTTGTAAGTAAAGCTGAACATGTGCTATAAGGAGTGGTAATTATGATATATATGTACGTTATACAGTATGCACATACATGTACCATACATCATGAAAAAATGAATGAGCTATGTGTACATATAACTAGTTATATGCCGATCAAAATGCATATATTGATCTTGCAAAATATATTTTTATAACAAACATCAAACCTATGATGCCTCCTCACCGAATACTTGTTCCTGTTATGTATGTTGTTTGTATGCTTAGTTTTTCTTCGAACTAACATAGTAGATGCCATATGGAGTTTCCGGCTTTACTGCTGAAGGAAGACCTCAGTTTCCTGCATCATTTTAGGTACAACCTGGCACCTAAGTAGAACCACCGATGTCCGTAACCTAGATGGATAGCTTACTTACATGAAAGAATCCGAAGTTCTTGGTGGGATTCGAACCCATAGCGTTGAGGAGCAAACGGTCTTGATATATTGATATATGGGTTCATTCCAGTCTATAAAATACAAAAAGGTAAAATTCCCTAAAACAACGCTACCAGTTTCTGTGTTCTTCTTCCTTCTTCCTTCGGATGCTTTCGCTTGCATGTACACTTTTCACAGGGCAAAACCACTTCCTTAAAGATTTGAATTTTGTAGATGAGTTGACGATTTTCAAATTTCCTCACTCAGTTGCCGGTCGAGCAAAGTGAAAAAAAAGAAAATGGTTGTAAATATTAAAGAAATTAAAGGTATATTGCAACAGTGTAAAGTAAATTTAGCTTACGTACCCCACCCCACTGCCCCAGTCCCCACCGCTACTGTTCCATTTGTATCATTTAATGTAATTGGGCAGGTTAATGATATACAGGTATGTTTATGTTTTTGTTTGTTTTATTACAGCTTTGAGCAACAAATTTGAGCGGCAGACGTCTACAGGATGTCCAATAGATTTTATAAAACACGAAAATTCCTGTTACCACATCTTCGCTACACCCACTTTGAAATGGTGGGAGGCTATGGTTAGTTACACAGTTAGTTACTCACTTTGAATGGTGGGAGGATATGGTTAGTTACCCAGTAAGTTACTCACTTTGAATGGTGGGAGGATATGGTTAGTTACCCAGTTAGTTACTCACTTTGAATGGTGGGAGGATATGGTTAGTTACCCAGTTAGTTACTCACTTTGAATGAATGGTGGGAGATTATGGTTAGTTACCCAGTTAGTTACTCACTTTGAATGGTGGGAGGATATGGTTAGTTACCCAGTTAGTTACTCACTTTGAATGGTGGGAGGCTATGGTTAGTTACCCAGTTTGAAATGGTTGGAGGGTATGGTTCTTTAAAGGTCCATTATGCATCAGAAATGCTTTTTATTTTTATTTCCAAAAAGCATTTTAATTTTTATATAGTATCCAAAAGTTACTCTTAGCCAATTACCTGAACTATCTTTTTCATTTGTTGATTTTTTTGGCAATAAGAATAGTTTATAGTGAATAAGTATTTAATAATTTTGTATAGAAATAAAAATACTACTTTGTTGACATTTGCTACTTCTATGACATATTGTTTCACATTTAATGCTACTTTCTTCAGCTAACAAGCATCTAACATTCTCTAAAACCATTATTTAAACATAATAAAATTCATGTTTGCCCTTTCTGAAGAACCAAAAATGTATTTGTTTTTCTGAGGCATATTAATGTGCCTTTTATCTCCCTTTCCTTACAGACGTAGTCATCTTATAACTGACGATCACTGTGGGATTTTTTTGCTTATTTATTTTTGTTTGTTTTTTCATTATTTTTAGGCATACTGTGAAATATATGGTGGCGGAGAGGGGACACTGGCTACCGTGGAGTCCGAGTCGGAACAGCTGTTTCTTGAAAATGAACTGAAGAAAGCATTCCGTAAGTTTCTACACAGATTTTTACGCAGACATTCATTCGCCTATATGGTTCTTTTCCGGCGTGAAGGTAAACAAATTAGACTGACAGGAGCAGTAGTCCAGTGGTAGGACGCGCGCTTAGGGATCGAGAGGTCCCGGGTTCGAACCCCACCAGGGGCACTGCTAATTTCTTTGAGCAAGAAATTTACCTGGGATTGCTTCACTTCACCCAGGTGTAAATGGGTACCTGCGAGGGTGGTATAATTCCGTTGCGCTAAAGTGTCGGCTGCACTAAGCGGAGTTAAAAGATTCCCCAGGGAGATTGATAGATAGATACCAGTAGCCCGATGGCTGTAAAGTCGGTGAACGTGCGTAAGCATGAAACTTAGACTATAAAATGCAATTACTAACTTACCTACTTTATTTGAATTTCATTTCATCGAGTCTAAACTTCATGGACAAGGGACCACAACTCTGTCATGCATGATGTTATCAAATATTAAATATGTTAAGAAAGAAGACAATTTTACCCAATGATGTAAGTTCTCAGCAAATTGGATTGAAATAAACACAACACAAATGAAATGAAGCAACATACGTGCAGACGGACGGACGGACGGACGAAGTAAAGAATAACTTGTGAGATGAATGAATGAATGAATGAATGAATGAATGAATCATAACGATGATGAACTATATGATTACTTAACTATTTTCTTTTCAGTTTTTTTTTCGAGAAAAATATGTTAAAATCTAACAGCTAACATCAAAAGTTTGTTTGTATTAGAGACTAATTTCATTGGTCAGTGTACATTCTGTAGCAATTTCTGACCAATCAAATATCTGAGCTATGATAATTTCTTTATAACCTATGACCTGTATTATACTTATTGAGATTTTTTTTCTTGTCAGCAAATCCTGTTGGAAAAGACTTTTGGCTGGGGGCTAATGACGTCACGCATGAGGGCACGTGGGTTTGGATAAAGAAAGACGAGTATGTTCAAGAATACACTCATTGGGCACCGGGCGAGCCCAGCAGTCGTACATCTGAAAATTGCCTGGCATTATATGATGGCCTGCAGTATAAATGGAATGATGCGCCGTGCAATCTACCAGAGGGCTTCATTTGTGAACTCCCGTAAGATAAACAACTTCAAAACTTATTTAACTTATGAAAACATGTGTTTGTGTACTTGTTTGTGTTTGTGTGTGTGTCATTGAGATTATGCACTTATTTATGTAACACTTGTAAAACTCTTTAAAACCATTTCAGTTGAGAATATTCAAATGTCGCAGCTTATTGTAATAAAACAATAATCTAAATTGCTATTCGTTTTAAAATAAGTCAAATCGTAACGTTTTGTTCTTAAATTTTCTTAGTCCAAGTTATCACAATTTTTTACGTTCATATATAATCATGTATTATTCTTCAGAGTATATAATATAAGACGGGTTTGTCCGGTTTTTGGTTTCCAGCAGGGAAGGAGTAAATAACACGAACGTTTTGTTCATTTCAGAGCACGGGATGCAAATCAAATTGTTGGATGAGCCAGAATACATATAAATAAACGATTTAAAATATATTAAATAGCTATAGATGTCTGATTTATTTGTTTCCTGCATGTATTTTGGCAGAATAGCATATAATAAAATCGTTTGCATATGTTTGTTCGTTTTCTTTTCTTTTTAAAATACGAGAATGCCTCCAGATTCGTGCTATTCTCATGAAATTTTTGAAGATGTATTAAAAAGTAAAATATTTTCAAGTGAAAAAAAGGGACAGTAATTTACACATTGCAAACGGAAAATCATTTCGTGTAAATTACAAAATAAAGGTCAATACAGCCCAAATTGCGTTAGTCACGCAGAAAAAATAAGATGATTAATACTGCAAAATTAGTCTTTTTTGTAAATGACATGTAATTCATTCCTTGCATTCTTGCGTTGTAAATATTCTTACTTTTCTTACAATCTTAGTAAATCTTTGAGGGATTTTGATGGCCTTTCTGGTGGCTTGTATCTTAAATTAATGACTGGATAAAGGAAAAAAAAGCTGACACTTATGCTTCGCCTTTGTTAAAGGCCAATTATGCCCCAGATATGTTTTTTTTTATTTCTCAAATGCTTTTTTTTCGGTGCTTTTATAGGATCCAAAAAAGGTTAATCATTATTTTTACCTCAACCATCTTTTCCTTCTGTTTTTTTTTATTTTGAAAACCAATCATAACACCTCTACGATTTTTCATAATCCTTATTAGGTATCTATCAATCGCAACTTTTCGGCCTTTTCGTCAGTCTTAGGGTAAGGACCTCGAACACAATAGTATATTCATACAGAACGGATGCGGATTTTGGACTGACCTACGCTTAGAAACTAAATATGTAAACAAATTGTAATTTAATGCTGGGAGTTTTGACATGTCTTTTTCCAATATAGCAAGTAAAAATCCACCTAAAATAAATGAATTCATAAATACAAAAGCAATGGCCGGGTGGTTAACGCGCCGGCCAAGTAATCTAATGATCGCTAGCCGCATGGGTTCTAAAACAGTCAGGGGCAAGTCGTTGTTTCTTTGAGACTCATTGCTCAGTACTATTTGGTTCCAGGAACGGATTCGAAAGTGTGTTTATAGCTTGCTACACAATTGAACTAAAATAAATTATGTATAGACCAAAAGCAATTTACATTATTTATATATTTATTATTATGGTTGTAGAAACCGAAAGAACAAAATGCCACGTCGAATTTGTTTAAAATTGTATATCATTGGCATATTTTTTCAAAAATGGTTGTTAGACCTATTTCCAATTATAATTGTTCCTAAAACAGACATGATCTTCGTTTGGATGTCTAATATATACATTCTCTTTACATAATTGAAGCTTACACTGTCTGTTTCTGTTTACATTTGAACCACGTGGTATTCATTCCGTATTAACTCCGAGGTTATTATAGATAATAGCCGAGGACGTTCCGATTGTCCTTATTCTTAGCCTTTCCCGAAGATTGACAGAAAATACCGATAAAATGCGAATGTTTCCGGTTATAACTCCCTATTTACAGACTTATCATGCATGGCTCGTAACCTTTATAAACTGTCTGGCAATGTCCTCAAAGATAAGACAGGCATTTCTGTTAAGACACAAACATGGCAAAGCTTGTTTACATATTTGGACAACTGCTTCTTATACATATGGCGGTAGGATTTTTTTTAATGTTTTAACAAAACAATCTACACATAACAAAAAGTATCTTTTTCGTTAATTTTTAGGTAAGTTTTGCGATATTTCTAAATCCAAACAGAATACTATCTAGGACAAGACATGCCCTCGGGGAGAAAGTCGATCCCGCTCGTCTTTATTTAAACCTGAACATAAAAGTTTCAGATCAAGATGTATACATAGTTGAGATGTACGCAACACATCCTCTTTATACATATGGCAAAATCTTGTTCCTTATTTCTTGTTCTTGTTTCAGTTGTTTCCTGTGTATTTCCTGGACTAATGTTGCCGGTGTATTACCAGGACATTTGTTCCCTCTGTATTTCTAGGACAGTTGTTCCCTTTGTAGTACCAAGCAGTTGTTCCCTGTGTATTTCCAGGACAGTTGTTCTCTATGTATAACCAGAACAGTTGTTCCCTGTATATATTCAGTACAATTGTTTCCTGTGTATTTCCAGGACAGTTGTTCCCTTTGTATTACCAGGACAGTTGTTCCCTGTGTATTTCCAGGACAGTTGTTCTCTATGTATAACCAGAACAGTTGTTCCCTGTATATATATTAGATACAGTTGTTCCCTGTGTATTACCGGGACAGTTGTTCCCTGTGTATTTCCAGGACAGTTGTTCCCTTAGTAATACCAGGAAAGTTGTTCCCTGTGTTTTCAGGACAATTGTTCTCTATGTATAACCAGAACAGTTGTTTCCTGTATATATTCAGGACAGTTGTTCCATGTGTATTACCAGGACAGTTGTTCCCTGTGTATTTCAAGGACAGTTGTTCTGTGTGTATTACCAGGACAGTTGTTCCCTGTGTATTTCCAGGACAGTTGTTCTCTGTCTACTACCAGAACAGTTGTTCCCTGTGTGTTTCCAGGACAGTTATTCCCTTTGTTTTCCCAGGACAAATGTTCGCTGTGTACTTCAAGGACAATTATTCCCTGTGTTTTTACAGGACAGTTGTTCCCTGTGTATTCCCAAGTCAGTTGTTCCCTGTGTATTCCGAGGACAGTTGTTCCCTGTTCCCTGTGTATTCCGAGGACAGTTATTCCCTGTGTATGCCTAGTACAGTTATTCCCTGTGTATTCCCAGTTGTTCCCTTAGTAATACCAGGAAAGTTGTTCCCTGTGTATTTCCAGGACAATTGTTCTCTACCATAACCAGAACAGTTGTTTCCTGTATATATTCAGGACAGTTGTTCCATGTGTATTACCAGGACAGTTGTTCCCTGTGTATTTCAAGGACAGTTGTTCTCTGTGTATTACCAGGACAGTTGTTCCCTGTGTATTTCCAGGACAGTTGTTCTCTGTCTACTACCAGAACAGTTGTTCCCTGTGTATTTACAGGACAGTTGTTCCCTGTGTGTTTCCAGGACAGTTGTTCCCTGTGTTCTTCCCAGGACAATTATTCCCTTGTTTTCCCATGACAGTTGTTCCCTGTGTATTCCAAGGACAGTTATTCCCTGTGTATTCCCAGGACAGTTGTTCCCTGTTACCTGTGTATTCCGAGGACAGTAATTCCCTGTGTATGCCCAGTACAGTTATTCCCTGTGTATTCCCAGTACAGTTATTCCGTGTGTATTCCCAGGACATTTGTTCCTTGTTCACTGTGTATTCCCATTTCCCAGTACAGTTATTCCCTGTGTATTCCCGGGACAGTTATTCCCTGTGTATTCCCAGTACTGTTATTCCCTGTGTATTCGCAGTACAGTTATTCCCTGTGTATTCGCAGTACAGTTATTCCCTGTGTATTCCCAGGACAGTTATTACCTGTGTATTCCCAGTACACTTATTCCCTGTGTATTCCCAGGACAGTTATTCCCTGTGTATTCCCAGGACACTTATTCCCTGTGTATTTCAAGGACAGTTATTCCCTGTGTATTCCAAGTACAGTTATTCCCTGTGTATTCCCAGTACAGTTTTCCCCTGTGTATTCCCAGTACAGTTATTTCCTGTGTATTTCAAGGACAGTTGTTCCCTGTGTATTCCCAGTCCAGATATTCCCTGTGTATTCCCAGTATAGTTATTCCGTGTGTATTCCCAGGACAGTTATCTCCTGTGTATTTCCAGGACAGTTATCTCCTGTGTATTCCCAGTACAGTTATTCCCTGTGTATTTCTAGGACAGTTAATCCCTGTGTATTCCCAGTCCAGATATTCCCAGTACACTTTCGTGTGTATTCCCAGGACAAGTATCCCCTGTGTATTTCCAGGACAGTTGTTCCCTGTGTATTCCAAGTACAGTTATTCTCTGTGTATTCCCAGGACAGTTGTTCCATGTGTATTTCCAGGACAGTTGTTCCCTGTGTATTCCCAGTCCAGATATTCCCTGTGTATTCCCAGTACAGTTTCGTGTGTATTCCCAGGACAGTTATCCCCTGTGTATTTCCAGGACAGTTGTTCCCTGTGTATTTCTAGGACAGTTATTACCTGTGTATTCCAAGTACAGTTATTCTCTGTGTATTCCCAGGACAGTTGTTCCATGTGTATTTCCAGGACAGTTGTTCCCTGTGTATTTCCAGGGCAGTTGTTCCGTGTATTTCACAGGAGGTCAAGCTCAAATAGTCAGTTTACGGGCAAAAAACCATTTCAGCTACACTTTAATTTTGAATAAAAGACAAGAATGTATGTGCAAGTATTATTAGGGAAAAACACTGGACTTAATAACCTTGCAAGGGTAAATATCCATTTACGTGCATGGCGTGCAGGAGGTAATGGCGTGTAGGTGGTAATGACGTACGGGAGGTCATAATTATGTTGATAATATGAGTGTTCGAAATAAAATGATCATAGCTCTATGAGATTGAGATCATACACGCACTCAACCTACGTAAACCATCATCCTGATCATCCTAAAAAATAATAATAGAAAAAAATACAAAAACAAAAACAACGTCAATATTAGAATTGAAAATGTCAATTTATGATATCTTAAATAATATGATTTGTGCGGGGCCAATGTTAAAAACTTTAAGGAGTCAGGAACAAAAAGAAATAAAACAACAACAACAAAAAAACCCAGACAAAACAACTTAAATTTCAAGAATAATTACAAAAACTTTTATTCATGTTTTTGTATCACTGGTTAAAAGCTTGGTAAATTAACACGTTTTTGAAGTAATTTCATCCTTGGATTAACTTAATAAATTACTCATATTCATTTATTTATATTTATGCAACGTTGTTGTACCAACATTAAAAAAGCTGGAAATAAAATGCACGTTTGAAAAATAAGTGCTTTTTTTAAAGATAAAGATAATCATCAGACAACGAAGACAACAACAACAACAACAAGACCATCATGACCATCATTTACATATTATATGAGCCGCGTCACGACAAAACCAACATTATAGGTTTGCGACCAGCATGGATCCAGACCAGCCTGCGCATCCGCGCAGTCTGATCAGGATCCATGCTGTTCGCTATCAGTTTCTCTTCTTGTTATAGGGTTTGTAAGCGAACAGCATGGATCCTGATCAGACTGCGCGGATGCGCAGGCTGGTCTGGATCCATGCTGGTCGCAAACCCATTATGTTGGTTTTGTCGTGACGCGGCTCATATGTATCACACTGGCCATAACTTTCGCAGCGACAGAAGAGGTGGAAAAATGGCCGTTTGTTGTTGTCGGTAAGTTTATGTTATGTTTTAATGTTTTACTGGAAACACCTTATGGTACAGGAGCCCACATATGTTCTCTTCCAACTTGTTACACGCACACGATGCAATTTATTGTCATTTTATGGAAACATTTCTGTATAGTTTGACGCAAAGACGCCACTTATTTCTAATTTTGGCTAAGACACGTCGAAATATGTGCAAAACGAACCATAAATACACCAGCATCACATCCAAGTATGTATGATACTTTCACAAAACAACAATATTTTGAAACTTTTGAAAATTGTCATAGCCTGTTTTTAAAAGTATTGAAAAAAAATAATTACAACGCAGACGGCGGTGGATTCTATTGCAACGCAGTGCAGTCGGCCCGATACAAGTATGTCTATTTTGAGGGTTTAACTTGAAAGAGTACATATATGTATATGGACTCCTGTCTAATTAGGTGTTTCCAGTAAAACCTTTAAACATGAAGTAAAATTCAGCCATAAACTTAACGACAAAAATAAACGGTCATTTTTTCCACCGCTTATGCGACCAATATTCCACCATCGCTGCAATGAACCCACCGCTTCTGCGAAAGATATGTCCAGTGTGCGTAAGACATTGTGTTCTATTATATGTACTATTTATGTATATGTCTAATGATTATGTACTTATTGTACAAATTTTGAATAAACTGTTTGTTCTGTTCTGTACATATGTATGGCAAGTTCCATAACTTTGACAAGAGTTACTCATCCTTATAAGTTTACTTACATAGCGGGATGTCATTTGAAAAGGGTTACGTTTACTGCAACAAATGTTGGTCAAAATTCAACACTTTCTAACAATACCAGTTAAAAACTAAAAATAATAGTGTATACAGAGTATACAGAATCCTGTAAACGGTCTGCTTGGTTATTTGCCTGAGAAAACCCATTAATGAGACCATCCCACTATATATTAAAACAAGATTTGCAAAGTCTCGTCAGTATGTTTATATTTTTGTTTGTTTTATTACAGTTTGGAGCGACAGATTCGAGCGGGAGACGTCTACAGGATGTCCGATAGATTTTGTAAAACACGAAAGTTCCTGTTACCACATCTTCGCTACACCCACTTTAAAATGGTGGGATGCTATGGTTAGTTACCCAGATCACTTGATTATCTCCCCTTTCCTGCAACGTAATATAGTTACATTTGGTTAATGTAGAATGAGGACGTCAGTTGCCAAATTTCCATATATATAAAGAGTTCCTTTTGAAAATGCGAACGTGTATGCCTAGCATTTTCGCTTTTTTCACATTTTCAAAAGGAACCCTTTACATATCTGGAATTTTGCCCACGAACACCCTTTTAGCTCGATTGTGTGCGAAGCTATAAGCTTATAAACAACCAGTTCTGAGCAATGAGTGTAAAGTTTCTTGCTCACGGAAATAACGACTTGCCCCTGACATGGTTTGAACCGGCACTGTTAGCAGCCCTTCTTTTGCTTTCCTTGTGCTCAAATTATCGTCTGTATTTTCAGGCATATTGTGGAATATATGCGGACGGTGAAGGATCACTTGCAAGTATTGAGTCTGAGTCGGAACAGTTGTTCCTTGAGAAAGAACTGAAGACAAAATACCGTATGTTTTTTTCTTAAAACTAACCTTCACCTTGTGTAAACTTCGTGATAGTCACACTTCAGATTTTAGGGTTAGAAATCATCAACTGTGACTGTTTTTCTCATGATTTTCAGTTTTGTTGGAATTAGAACATAAGAATGTTCACATATTCAGAAAAATGAATGAATGAATGAATGAATGAATCGTAACATCGTTAAAAATGATATTATTTAAATCTTCTCTATATCAGTTTTATATAAAAAATATGTTGGAAGGAAAATAATTTGTTTTCCACTAACACGGATTGTCGAGGGCTCTCATTTAAACAGTCGCTTTAATCGATTATTAATTAATTAATATGACTTTCTTGTCAGCAAATCCTGTTCAAAAGGACTTTTGGTTGGGAGCTAATGACATCACGCATGAGGGCACGTGGGTTTGGATAAAGAAAGACGAGTACGTGAAAATGCAAATGTACACTAATTGGGCACCGGGCGAGCCGAACAGTGGGACAGGTGAAAATTGTCTGGCATTATATGACATGGAGCAATATAAATGGAATGATGCGCCGTGCGATCTACCAGAGGGTTTCATTTGCGAAGTCCCGTAAGATAAACTACTTTCTCTTTGGGCATTAATTTTGCCTGCGATTGTGCGTGGGTGTGTGTAGGCGGTAATCGCTATTGACCCACCAGTAGCGGTAGGTACATTACGGGGACACCAGTGAGAAGAGGTTTCGGTAGAAACCGTAAGGTTACGGTAAAACCCGTAACTCCGCCCTTATGGTGAGAAGGTGTAATGTTACTAAATTTTTTCATTCCTGTCACGATGAGAAACTTTAAACACATTCAGTCATAATTAAACTCTGTTCATTTATAAATCAAAATGCTGCGAAAATAGTTCTTATATGACTTTTGTACATGTAAATTTTTTTACATAATGCAGAGTAGATAAAACCGAACATAGACGTGTTTCTAAGTGTTCATAGGGCATAATCATTTAAAGGACATGTACGTGTTTCATTCAAAAAATATGGAGCAACACTTTTAAATGTTATCAGAGACGTCAAAATACATTAAATGTCTCTGATTTAGAAAGTTTAAGTCAATAGGACATATGAGCCGTGTCACGACAAAACCAACGTAATGGGTTTGCGACCAGCATGGATCCAGATCGACTAGCCTGTGCATACACGCAGTCTGATCATGATCTATTTTGCTGTTCACTTACAAACCCTATAACAAGTAGACATCATGGATCGTGATCATATTGCGCGAATGCGCAGGCTGGTCTGGATCCATGCTGGTCGCAAACCCATTACGTTGGTTTTGTCATGGCGCGCAGCTCATATCACTTACACGTGGGAGGTTCAGTGACAGAAATTTAACGATCAGTGATGAGGTTCTATATTTATTTAGCAATATAAAGGAAGAACCTATAATAATAAACGAAACAGTTATAATAAATATTTTACGGTAGACAATTCATGCAATTCACATATCAATTCACAAATACAATGAATACAATTTTTACATTAATATCAACATTTCATATTTACTCCTGAATAGTCAGTACCTATAATCTCTTGTCCCTCCTTTTGTACAGTTTGCGCAATTACTAACAAGAACATCCCTCTACTATAATGCCTTTCTCCAATCAGCCTTTTAAGAATGAAATGAGCTTTCTGGAGATCTTCAAAATGCCCCAACACTATCCTCTTTCAAAAACTTGTCTTTTGAATAAAATTCTGACAAAGTCCCCAAAATATTTCTATACAGGTATTCGAAAATGATAGATATACTCTCTGAATCATCAGCTTTACAAAAAAAAACCTTAAGAAATTCACCACTGTGTCAAAGTGAACTTCCGAGAAAAAACACCACTTTTTCTTTGAATGTCAACGAAACAACACTATTAGAAACAGCCTCTTCCAGACTCTCTTGATAACTGTCACATGTGAATTTGTATAAGCATATATTGACCCCTTTCTATGAATCAACCCTTAACAACTCATTTAGAAAACAATCTACTAATTGTAGCAGTAATTACTTACCTAATTTAATGAAGCAATTCATGTATCTGATATATAATATCATGAATGTTAAACAGCACGTACTATTTTTTTAGAAGCAATCATTTTGGTTAAATATCATACTTTTAGTATCAATCACTGTCCTCATTTCTTGAAGCACTTATTTACGATTAGTATGATGTCATAACTGCAGCAGTAATCACTTACCTGAAGCTTTCAGGAAGCGTTTCTTCCATAGTATATTTGATAAATAATGACACAATCCTCATTAATAAATTTGGTAAAATATCGTATTTGTAGTAGCAGTCACTAACTTGATTACGTGGAGCAATCTTTGAAAATGCACTCCATAAAATAGTATCGTTGCAGCAGTAATCTTTTATATCCTTACTAGGAATTTGCACATATCGTATTGTATTGTCATTTTCTATTACCCATGATTCAGAAACCATTTAAGGTTAGTAGTCATGAAGTCATCAGTTAAATTTCTGGTAATTTATTCTGGAAAACCAATGCAAAGACAACAAAAGCCAATGCAAAGACAACAAAGTAAATTAAGAAAATATCCAAATATATTGTTATATATTTCCTAAAAATAAATGGTCAACACTGGATGATAAGCAATCCTAAATATATGTCATGCACCTGTTTGCAAGAACATTTGTAAAATTATAATAAGGGATCATTATGGTAAATAACAAAAACACAAGTTGAATCCTGAACCAGTTTTATTACACATAAATGCAAAATTGAAAAATTGACATTCTTAAACAAATATAGCAAGGACCAATCTCAAGTTTTCATTTTATTAAAAGTACAAAAATACACGATAGTGTTAACATTGTGTTGAACAGTTTTCAGAAACTAAATCATGTTGCATATAGACTGCAATCACAAATAGAAGGTATGTAACGGTATACATTAAAAAGGAAAGAAATAGAAGTAAATAAAAACTTTTAGGTGATTACATGAATGTATTTTATGGCAAGTTTTGCATGGTTTTCAATTTTAAGTGCATTGGATGATTTAAGTAAGACGTTAAGTCTTTTGGTAATAAGTGGAGCTACTATAAGTACTTATCAAATGTGTATGGTCATTAAAGTTGTATTATCCGCTCTCAAACAATATATTCATTTATAAAAAAGCAAGCTCTCATTACATGATTAAAATAAAGTATTTAGTTTTGAACTTAAATATATGAATGTATGTTAAATGAATTAAAATCTTATTATAATAACTATTCATATAGCCAATTATTATTATCTACCACTATAATATCATACTTTGTCCTTATATATCTTATAATTATTAACTACGTACACTGGTGGCTAAATATTGCATCATTTTATGTCCTCATATATCTCATTATTATTACCTACCTACACAAGTGGGCGACAACCATACATACCATCTAGTCCTTATCTCCCTAACTATTATTACCCAACTTAACTGGTGCCCATCTATGATATAATATCTAGTCTTGGAATATCCAATTATAATTACCTACCTACACTGGTGGCCCACTATTAATTCCTATTAAGCCTTAATATATCTTATTATAAATACCTACCTACACTGGTGGGCCACTATTACAAACTATCTAGTCTTGGAAAATCTAATCATTAATACCTACCTACACTGGTGGGCCACTATCAAAATCTTATTCAACCTTACTATACCTCATTATAAATACCTACCTACACTGGTGGGCCACTATCACAAACTATCTAGTCTTGAAATATCTTATTATGAATACCTACCTACACTGGTGGGCCACTATTACAAACTATCTAGTCTTGAAATATCTTATTATTAATACCTACCTACACTGGTGGGCCACTATTACAAACTATATAGTCTTGAAATATCTTATTATTAATACCTACCTACACTGGTGGGCCACTATTACAAACAATCTAGTCTTGAAATATCTTATTATAAATACCCTTCTACACTGGTGGGCCACTATTACAAACTATCTAGTCTTGGAAAATCTAATCATTAATACCTACCTACACTGGTGGGCCACTATCAAAATCTTATTCAACCTTACTATACCTCATTATAAATACCTACCTACACTGGTGGGCCACTATTACAAACTATCTAGTCTTGAAATATCTTATTATTAATACCTACCTACACTGGTGGGCCACTATTAAAATCTTATTCAACCTTACTATACCTCATTATAAATACCTACCTACACTGGTGGGCCACTATCACAAACTATCTAGTCTTGAAATATCTTATTATAAATACCTACCTACACTGGTGGGCCACTATTACAAACTATCTAGTCTTGAAATATCTTATTATTAATACCTACCTACACTGGTGGGCCACCATTACAAACTATATAGTCTTGAAATATCTTATTATTAATACCTACCTACACTGGTGGGCCACTATCACAAACTATCTAGTCTTGAAATATCTTATTATGAATACCTACCTACACTGGTGGGCCACTATTACAAACTATCTAGTCTTTGAAAATCTAATCATTAATACCTACCTACACTGGTGGGCCACTATTAAAATCTTATTCAACCTTACTATACCTCATTATAAATACCTACCTACACTGGTGGGCCACTATTACAAACTATCTAGTCTTGAAATATCTTATTATTAATACCTACCTACACTGGTGGGCCACTATTACAAACAATCTAGTCTTGAAATATCTTATTATAAATACCTACCTACACTGGTGGGCCACTATTACAAACTATCTAGTCTTGAAATATCTTATTATAAATACCTACCTACACTGGTGGGCCACTATTACAAACAATCTAGTCTTGAAATATCTTATTATAAATACCTACCTACACTGGTGGGCCACTATTACAAACTATCTAGTCTTGAAATATCTTATTATAAATACCCTTCTACACTGGTGGGCCACTATTACAAACTATCTAGTCTTTGAAAATCTAATCATTAATACCTACCTACACTGGTGGGCCACTATTAAAATCTTATTCAACCTTACTATACCTTGTTGTAATGTTCGTTTATTCATGAACAATTAATAATAGAAATTAAATCAAGTGCGTTGATACAATGAAGTAAAGTAAAACACGACGAGTGTTCAGCACAAGATATAAATTTATTCTGTAAACCCTTAACATGTGATCTTAGATTTACTAGAAATACGGAGCATGCGCAAACAAGCATTATACATAGGTCAGCTCAAGTTCATCATGTACGATGATACTACATATCCCTGTTTTTAAAAGAAAAAATAAGCAACACATGTTAATAAAATTGTATATGATAATAAACAATTATGATGATTAAAATTGCCTAAACATACTGAAGAGAACAATTTAAATAGTCTTAAAGTCACAAAGTTTTTTTTTTATTATTATTATTATTATTACTATTATTTTATTTCTGTTCTCTCTTTTTTTTCTCTCTTTACATTATAATGTCTATCCATTCCGGATGATTAATTAACAGTGCTCCATTCGTCGGTA